CTAAGAGCACTGTAAGTTTTAGCTCTTTAATGTAACGCCGGAGTATTTTGGAAACCGGACACTGTGTCTGTCTAGAAGTCGTTTCCATCTTTCCTCCGTTTGTCCTTGTGAAAAAACACTGCAAAAGGCAAAGAAGCTTTTCAAGGTAAGTTTGTTGCGATTGTCGAAGGATTTGCTAGTTCATTCTCGTCGTCAATTGTGATCTGCGTTAAAATTTTCAAACACTGACTAGAATTCTCTTCCTCGGTAAGGGTACGATTCAGTTTCTACAACAGCTTCGTTCTCATTAAAACAAAGCTAGGTTAAAAATTGGAATGGCAAAGTCAGCATCCCAGTCTTCAGGGTTTACAGACATATTTCAAAGTTTATTCGGTGGAAACTAAGAGTACTGTAAGTATTCACTCGTTAACGTGACGCTGGAGTCTTTTGAAAACTGGACATTATGGTGTCTGGCTCGAACTCGCTTCTATCTTTCCTTCGTTGGTCTTTGAAAAAAAACTGCAAATGGCAAAGAAGCTTGTCAGGTATGTCTGTTATCATATTTGTTGAAGGAATTACTCATTTTCTCTTAGGTAAAACATCTCGAATCTCTGCCAGTCGATTTTCGTCTTCTTAACTGTGTGCTACGATAAAATTTTCAAACACTGACTAGAATCCTCTTCGATAAGATTACGAGTTAGTTTCTTCATCGCCTTCGTTCACAAATAAACGCAGTTTAAAATGTTGAAGGCCAAAGTCAACATCTAAGTTAGCCTGAGTATCAGGCGTTTCTGGGGAAAAGGGGAAAGATGGAAGCGAAAAAGGGAGAGAGCTGAAGGAGAGAAACGCCTGACACAGATGCTTTTACTGGAGCCTTCCACCCCTACACAGCATGATTCGATACCATCCAATCAAAATCACTTCCGGTCATTGGGTTGTCAGCTTCAAGTGTCAAAAAAGCTCGCCTAAAATAAATCTCACTTTACGGTCTAGCTGAGCTCCGGTGCTTGTGTTGCTACGATTTCGCTTTTTTCTGAAACCTCCAGTGAGGAGTTTTCGAATACTTGTAATGTAAAACCTGCCGTTTTTGAGGAATTATAACATGTTTTAGGAATTGTGATAGTGTAAGATCGTCAACGCTCTGTTTGTAAATAAACGTGTGCCCGGAAAATGGTAAATTGCTTTTGTTTACAGTGTTACATCAGGCGCTTGTCTGGCAGCTAAAAAGCTGATGTTATCTCTCGTATTCTCGGGTGGTTGAAAGGACCTGCAAGAATAAATAGGAAGGTGCGATGGTGAAACACCTATGCCTAGAAATTATCAAGCAGCAGCAAATTCCACCACTTCACAGAGAGCTCGTGAAAGCTGTTACAAGTTCAAAAAGAAGTGAGAGCCTATAGCAAAGGTCAATCCCGTTGGCGAAATATGATGGCGCCCGCTTGAGCTTAAGACATTTCAAAAGTGAGAAAATTTTGGAAGAGGAAGCGAACGAATTCCAATCACGTACACTATCGTAACCGCCACAAGCAAAGTCAAGCTTTTTAAAAGCATTGGTGCTGTCGGCTATCTCAATATACATGGCTACCTCGCTCTATTTTCATTTACAATACCAATACCCTTTTAACGGCAGGATGTTGTAAATCAGAACTTAGACATCTGAAACACTGATATCGTCTTCTTTGTCCCGGTCTTGTGAAACCAATACTCGGACATAGTTTCGGCAGAAGCTGGTATATGAGGCTTTTCCATACTCCGAGTACATCTTTCCTTTAAACTACGAGGCCTTGAAAACACAATTCTTGCTCGGGTTTTATTTTCATTCCAGGAAAGAACATGAGAGCGCCCTCTAGAGCCTTTTTGAATTCCTCTCTGCGTCTCTGTCCATAAAAGTATCACATACCGGTAACATGAAATCAAAACACCTATGAAAAATTTCAATGGCTTCTTGCCGATCGCTCTTGCGGTCGGTGACGTCAGGGGGTATTGTGTGTTATCCAATCACTGCCACATCCAGATTTTGGATGTGTCACACGATTTGCTGAATGGTTTTGTGTCAGGCCTTCCTTTCTCTTCTTCCCTTCCCCCCTCCCCCATCTAAAATGTCCTCTCCCCTAGCCCCCTAGGAAGGCCTGATACTCAGGCTACATCTAAGTCCTCGAGGTTGACAGGCGTCTTTTAACTTTATTTAAACCTTTTTTCCGAGGTAAAGAGATTTAGAACTCCGAAATGAGCATTTTCTTTAAACGTTTTGCTTCGCATAGCAAGTTACGGACCGCAAATTGACCAATCGCATGGCGAAAACAGACTCAGTCATATAATAATATATTTTGGGGAACCCCATTCCAACCTCCACCCAGGCGTGTACTGTCTTTGAATGAGAATAATAAATATTTCAGAATGGTGGCATTCCTGATGCAAACTCTATTTTACTAACAAGCAGCCAAGGTTATATGAAACGGTCTCGAATTTCCCTTACTGCGGTGACATACGAGGTAGCATAAAAGCACATTTTTACCATGTCGTTAGTTACTCAGCGAGTGACCCCCACAAAAGACGTTCCGCACACATTGAAAGACTGGATCCCAGTTCCACGTTTCAGAGTAGTTATGAGTGAGTTTGGCTGGTTAACACACGCCAGTTTACATGTCTTAATGACTTCCATGTCCTGGATATCTCTAATTTTAGACTAGTGAAAGCAAATTTGTTTTGCCAAAAAAACGTAAACGCCTGAAATACCATTTATAAAACCTATCTAGGTAAAGCATCAGGCTTAGTTGAAAGCGAAAAATTATTGATTGCAGAAGGAAGGAAGGAAGTTCTAACGCTACTGAAAAAGCTGACGCATAGGAATCATGGTTCAGTAAACAAGAGGAACATAATGTTTCAGTTCGGCTAACCATGAAGTTGAAAAGATTCTTCAACACAAGTCTTCTCGCCCTTGTACCTGAACAAGAAAGATTTGCACTGGCATTCAACACAGATGATTGATTGACTGAAATTAGCTGATAATAAAAGCCGCTTAAAAATACACAAAAGATATATTAATAAATAACTGTAGTGGTAGAATAGCGTAAACTGCTGCTTATAAGCCCTGGACTAATAAATAATCATCTTCGTAAGGGGTTCTAGGAGGGTTCAAAAACCGGAAGGGCTTAATATACGAGGGGGCTTATTACCGGAATAGAACAAGGGCTTTGAAACAAGCTATAGCAGTGCTGATCAAAATACGTTTGCAATAAACGTTAGAATTTGTCAACACTGTCCATCTGATATAATGATATTGAGAACGAATTGCACTTCATCTTTGATATATGATTTGATATTGATTTGGATTACGCAAGAGAAAAATTGAGAAAAATTATATGATGGAATTACTTTTTAATATCCGAACTTTGCTAATCTAAATACAATAGCTAAATCATTTTTTCTCTTCAGTAAATGATGTAGACCCATTTATTTGTAAAAAAAAAACAAAAAAAAAAAAACACTAGTTTATTTTATTTTTGAAGGATTCCAGAGAGAAAAAATTAAGACTTCGTAAATTGTTGTTCCTGATGAACTTCCGTTTATTATTGTGATTACTTAATGTTACCACAATGGTACTATTAATCCTAATGCATCCTACCCTACCTTAATCAACTATGAATATTTTTCTAGGGAGATTTACTTTTCTTTTATTTGGTTATTATTCTATTTTATATTTAACAATTATTCTTTGAAATCGAGGTCAATAGTGGCTAAATATTTACCGCGCCGAGAAAGCGGCGAGGTAAATATTCCCAAAGCCACTATTCACCGAGATTGAAAAGAATAATTGTTGTAGTATATACACACGAAGTGATCTCAACAAAATCAGAGAGGAAACCATTAAAAAGTACGATATGATTGACAGATCAAATCACGCGTAAGTTTAAAAATAGTTCTTTGCAGAATTTACAAACATTGCAATTCATAAGTTTATCATTTCGCAAGCAACAGCGTAATGGCTTAAATGGAACCGCTAAAAGTTTGAATTGTCTCCTTACCTGAGAAGAAAAGAAGAGCTTTGTTGTTTTCTGTTGACTAGCCAATTTTACAGCCGAAAAGGTTTGTTGTGTCGTTCTTCGCATGAAGTGCTGACAAAAATGGCGATTCGGTTCCTCGAGGTAAGACTTCGTCTTCATGTAGCATTCTTTCTTCTATTTACTTGAAACGTAGAATTTCTGCAAACATTTGCTTTCAAATTTGTTTCTCTTAAATAAACTTCGTTTTTGAGCAAAATTTTTGTTGTTAGGAAACGCTGAGCTGACGAAGCGGCTTCTTCTTGGCGAATAAACGGGAGTTGTAAACAATCCATCGACCACAAAACTCAACTACAGTAAATGAAAAAACGCCGTTTTGAATCCTTCAAGGTCTTTTCTTGCCTGAAAAAAAGCCAACCCTAGGATTTTGTCGACTTTTAAAAGATCTTTCTCTATAAAAATGGGAAAAAACCGAGCTCACACATTATTCACTCGCTAGGAGGTGAATATTGTTGATTAGAATATACACACTCAATGATCTTGGTAATTCAAGCAATCTGATCGGTTAGCTATCTCGGACTATGACGTTATATTCACCACGCTAGGCGGTGAATATAAAGCAGAACAAAATCGCCGTCCTGAAATGGGTGTTTTGCCAAAGTTTCATAGTAAAGCCTTTTTGAAAATACACGAATATCTAAGTGCTGATGACTTGAAAAGACTTCATGGTGTTTAAACAGCGTGATTTATTGTGAAGCGGTTTACTCATTCAGTATAACACTTTTTGACAAGGAAATAACACCTGTGCCTGTCGTTAAGGACTTGGGTGTTCTTCTCGACACACGCCTCAGTTATAACCAACATATCACTGAGATTGCCTCTAAATGCCTTTTTAAATTGTACCAAATTAACAGAATCAAGCACCTCCTGGATAGGAAAACACTTCTGTTAGTAATAAATTCATTTGTCTTTAGTAAACTCCAATATTGTTCAACTGTCTGGAGTAATACCAGCAGCAGCAATATTGACAAGTTACAAAAAGTCCAAAACTTTGCTGGGCGAATTATTCTGGGACTAAGAAAGTATGACCATATTTCGGATGGGTTGCGATCATTGAAATGGCTTCCTATTAGAGAGAAACTCATTCTAAATGACGCTACTATGATGCACAAATGTATTAACAAGCTTGTTCCAGACTATCTTGCTGATATGTTTAAATCACGTTCTCAAGTCCATAATAGACAAACTCGATCATCTGGTGCTTTGGATATACCTTTATGTCGCCTGTCAACAGGGCAGCGCTCCTTTGCTTTCAGAGGAGCCAAACTCTGGAACTCCTTGAATGATAACATTAAGTCCTTAAAATGCCCCAGGAATTTTAGACGTCATCTTGCAAATGTTTTATTAAGTTGATATATTATATTATTGATATATATTTTGTAATTATAATATTATTGTATTTACATTCTCAATTAATTTATGTATTTGTATTTTTTTATTCTATTGAGCTGAAAAGCCCACTTAGGGAGCATCAATAAAGTGTATGTATGTATGTATGTACTGTAGCTGACTTTTTGTACGCTCGAAGCTATGTTTACCACTACAGAGGAAAACGAGGTCGCTTTGTCACTATTTTGTGATTTCGGGATTTTCTCGCAAGACCAATTTTGCCTACAAATAGAAGTTAATTTATGGAGAAAAGTGGAAGGCAAATATTTTCAAAAATTGTACGTGCCAGCAAGTTAACAAGGCAAAGAACATTGGAGATAAACAACGCTCACCTTGATCGTAGCCGCTGTTGACAGCATTTGCAAGAAGCGACAAAGAAAACTTTCTCATTCACGGTGAGTTGACCGAAACAAATAAAGCTCTACTTTTCTTCTCAGAATTGGGTAGTTATTTAGATTTTCGGCTTTTCTTTTAAACCGTTGATGCTAAAGTTTACAAAACTCGATACAAAAAGATTAAAACTATCATTTGCCATGTTTGAAGATACTGTAAAGATCTAACTTTTGCGCATCCACTGTTTACGGCTTCTTGTTCACGCACGAATTCACCCGTCAATCAAACTAGTCGCTTTTTAATGGTTTCCTTTCTGATTCTGTTGAGATCACTTCGTGCGAATATACTAAAACAATTATTCACCTCAGGCTCAGTTAATATTGTTGAATAATCCCCTCGACTTCGTCTCGGGGATTATTCTACAATATTAACTTCGCCTTCGGCGAATAATTGTTAAATGGTCCGAGATAGCGAACCAATCAGATTGCTTAATTTACCAAGTAACTGCGCTAAGATGTTTGTAAACATGACTTTGTAAACTGAAGGCTAAAACCAAATGCGCAGTGAAAGGACTAAGACATAGACCTCAGGGTCAAAGAGTTCTATTATATATCTTACTACCTTTGAGCTTCAAATCACTTAAAACTGATGTAAATTTAGATTCGGTGTCGAACGTACGGTTCCTGGTAAGGCTATACTGTCAGTCAAATCAGCGAACATCGACGACAGGATCAATAACGTTTACCAACATAGCTAAAACGAATGTTTTTCGTCCAAACGAGGATAAGTTCCACCGAATCGTATGCACTAAGCCTTTACGGTTTTAAGAGAACGTTATTTAGATGTATATGATAAGTTATTAGGGAACAGAACAAGCAAAGGCGTGAATGAGCAACGCACACCAACCGGAAGTCAGAATTCTTTCTCTTTTATTATGCTTTGACGCTACCAAATATGTATTTTAAAGTGTCTTTACTCTTATTGAGACGATCTGTCCTAAAATTTGGGCAAACCGCAGCTCAAGAATGCAAAACGTCTACTTCCGGTTGATGTGCGTCGCTGAAAAACGTCATTGCTTGAGCTAATAAAGATTCAGGGGAGGACAAACAGGAAGGACCATAGAGCTCCTAGGGAATTAATGTCGTAGATTGCTCGACAATAGCCCCCGAACCGGACGTTTTAACCTCGAATAAGACAATTTCAAACACAGGAATTACAGTCTGTTATTAGTTCGTGCAAGCACACTGGCTTCACTGCTACTGGAGAAAGGATTCAAACAAGTCAACCCGGCACATCGATTCTGCACAGACAGAATGTGGCGACTGTGTGGACCAGCACAAACGGGCCTGTTGATGATAGCTCAATCAGAAATACTAAAACCAGTTCAAGAAAAAATCCAATGTCAGCCTTGAAAACATCCAACTAATTGTATGATTATTACTTGAATTATTCCACAAAACTATCCACACTTCTTACATGATGGAAGGTTCTAATTATAACCGTGAGAATACTTCCGTATAAGAGGCTAATGGGGATGTGCCGCTGGATGGGGTCGCATTTTCACGACTGGATTGACCATAATGGGGTCGCGATAACAGTATTTCATTACATCGTATTCTTGATTTTCAGGTGACCTTTTAAAAATTATAAAATCTATAATCCCAAAGAACTTTTAAGACTTTATCCCCTCCGGCAAAATACCCTGTAAAAATCTACCCTTCTGCAAAATTTTCAGCCTACTGAGTCCTCCGTTGTCATGAGTCCTTGCTATAAACACGCACAAGTTAAGGCCGTGCAATTTAAAAACTGGAGCTGATGATAGTGTCCACTGCATGGATAACTCTCAGCAGAAAGTTGTTAGCACTCATTTTATACTCTCTTGGATGAAAGAAAAAGTAGAGCAAAGTTACTTCTTGTCTAAGGAAATGATGTGACAGCAAAAGGGTTGAGCCAGACCTACGACTGGATTGACCATAATGGGGTCGCGATAACAGTATTTCATTACATTGTATTCTTGATTTTCAGGTGACCTTATAAAAATTACAAAATCTAATATATAGATTTAGCCAGGGCTAAAAGCGAGGCTCCCATTAATAAATTTATAATTTTTATTAAAAATAAAACAATAAACTTGTATTCGAATTCCACAATTCAGTTAACTTTAGAGCACATCTATGTGACTTTTGAGGGAAAGGCTACCTGATTTTAGAGAAAAATAATTTGCAAACAGCCCAAGAGTGAACCAAATCTTACATCCAGTTGATAGCCTCATATGTACACCCAAAAACTGGTAATCATCTTCGATCACATTTAAGAGCCATAACGGCTCTTGATCACCGTAGATTAATTAGTGGAAAAAAAATCAGGCCAACTTTTTTGCGTTCGACAAGTTTACTTTGCAAAATCTTGTCAACAAA